TATAACGTTATACATGTGAGAGGGTGAAGTATTAGCTATGAACAGGTATAGATCATTAAGTATAGTTTTTAATATAAACACCCTATCTCAACACCTCGAAATGTATGATTTTTTATTTACTTTTAACGCTCTATGCTGAACAAGTACGCATACAAACTATCATTTATTCAACTAACCAGCGTATTCAATCATAAACAAAAAATAAAATGAATACGATGGAAAATTTGTACAAGAAATGTATTATGGATTTCAATACCACAAGTGAGTAGTAAAATAAATTGATAGTAGTATTCTTCATTTATCGTTAACATATATTTTATATGTAAAAATAGGAGATTACAATTTTAAATATTGTGATTGTGAAATCAATAAATGCTATCGACATAGGGAATTATTGAGAGATGTCTACCATACCGGAAAATATATCAACATTTGGGCCGATGCGGTGGTCGAATATTTCGTTAATAATGCAGAGTATGAAAAATATGAGGCAATTACTAACGATTTAATTGAACGCTCATCGATCGATCTGGAGATTTATTTACGAGAATTTTATGAAAAGCTATTCACCGTAAAGTCTGATTATGGGCATAAACGTTGGTTTGAAGGTAAAAAAAAATATTGGTAATAATTTGATGATAAAATTACAATTAATAGTTAATGGACGAAACTAATTTACTTTATAAAGGTTGAAAATTATGTTTACATAGATTATTTTTTTTTGTACAGAATGACTTAGCTTATTTACAGGTAGCAGTCAAAAGTTGAGGAGTAGATTTAAATATCGTCGTATGATAGATCTTGTTTGCATGTACAACTTAATTGTATCACGTAAACAAGATGAATGTTAGCATTAGCATTGAAACTGGTTTTCATTTGACGATTCATATTAGACATACTATCGCACCCCAATTACCTATCTTAATTTTAATTTGGATGGCGAGACTGTAGATGAATATTCAGAGTGGTATTTATAATTTGTAAAAAATAAGTTTGTTTTGTTGTAAGTTTATTATTTTTTCTTTCATATTTTGTATATAATATTAATAATAATATACATTAAGGCTAACATAATTAGCAATTGCTTCTAGTGTTATGCATGTGACAGGATAAAGTACAGGAGGAACAGGTATAGATCTTTAAACATAGTTTTTTCATATATATATATTCTATTTTACATCATGAAATTTAACAATTTTTACGTGTGATATTGAATACTGTACAAGTATGTGCGGTACAAATACACCATACAAATACCTTGTTGTTTAACCGACAAATGTATATACGTTTTTATTTTAACCATATTTAATATTATTTTTTAATATAATAATTCTATTGCAGTGATTGATATGTCAAAGCAGACCGACACAATTACAATCCCGTCTTACGTATCAACCACGTTCGCCGCTAGATTACAATATAATTTCAGACAATGTCTATTTACATATACACCTTTTGACGGTACCATCCGTATATTTTAACATTTTTTACATGTTTATGTAAACATTTATTATAAGTCTTGCAATTAATATTATTATTACAGTTATTATTATTATAAAATAAATATATTATATACAAATAACAACAATTTGTTTTTCATTTTAGATTATAAGTTTATTATAAGAAACTACTAGTACAATATATAAAGTTATTGTTTATAAAAATGTAGGTTAATTTTCTGACGTGATTGGGTTTCAACCATTATGAAGCCCATGGACTATAACTATTTTCTTGAGTGAACACTGTTGTATTGAAAAATGTTGGACCATCGTTTTCATCGCACATTTCTTCTTCTTTTTCCTAAAACATAATTATAAATTTAATAACAATAAAGGTTATGACAATCTACGTTCATTAAACTCACGTTAATTTGAAGCATGTCTTCGGACCACGACTTGACCCATCGTTCGACTATTTCATTGTATGCTAAATTCTTCAGCTCGCTTATGTAATTACTGTCACCTTTAGGAATAGTATCGCATATTTCTTCGTCATTCAAACTTCTTATAAAATTAACCATTTCATCATTGTTTGATTGTTGAATTTTAGGGCCCGACCATTTACCGTCGGCGTATTGTATGATGCGGTCTATTTGATGACGTAATAGTAAACGTGTTTTTATTTTTCTTGATATTGCACTAATAATAGTGCACTGTAAGTCCATAAGTCTATTAATGTTTTCGTTATTCAATAACACTCGACACCCATCGACCATCCTGGATTCTAATACTAAATGCATGGTATCACGGTACAATACTTTGGTTATATTAAAATCGACATTTTGATATAACACAATGTTCCTTACTTTTACCGGCGGTGATTGTAGAAATGATGTTATTACATCCATCATGCCGTAAATAATATTTAAATATTCTGCTGAAATACTAAGATATCGTGAAGAAGTAATAATGCATACCGTAACATTGAAGTCCTCTTTTGGATTCAGGCCCACTTGCAAAAATTTTCTATCGCTGAACGCAATAGTGTAACTGCTAGAGTCAATCATCTCGGCTGGCGATGTTGGTGCGATATAAATGTAGCGCTGTTTTCTTACAGATTCGGCAACCATATTGTTCATAGAGTATTCTTCTTAGAGCTGATGGTTCTTGATGACATTTATCATCGATTTCACGCTCATTTATGCGGAAAAATCGCATATTTTCATATAGGGGTCAGCAAATTACAGGACACATATCCCCGTATACTAACCCTTTCCTTCACCGCTTAAGTAATTTCACTTTAATATCATAATAATTAGTTTTAAACTCGCGATTTCTAAATATTTGTATACATAATAGATTATGTGTGTATACATATGTTTTATACAATAACGTTTACACAATAACAAAATTTGACCATTAACAAACGCGGTAGTTTGACTTAATAATCAAAAAAAAAAAAAA